AGGTCGAGGCTGCAGTGGCCGGGAGCGGCCACTGCACTCCAGTCTGGGCAACTGAGTGAGACTCCAACTCAAGAAAACAAACAAAAAAAACCCTCCAATGGCTTCCCATGGAACCAAAAATAGAATTGAGACTCCTTATTATGCCCACAAGACCCTGAATGTCTGGCCCCTGCGTATTCCTCAGACCTCCTCTTGCATCCTATTGATCTCATATCTGTTCTCTTCACTGCAGCCACATTGGCTGTTTGGCCCTCCAAGTAGACCTTTCCTGATTCAGGGCCTTTGTTCTTTTTTTTTTGAGTTGGAGTCTCACTCTGTCGCCCAGACTGGAGTGCAGTGGCTGCTCCCGGCCACCACAGCCTCAACCTGGGCTCCGGCCATCCTTCCGCCTCAGCCTTCCAAGTAGCTGGAACTACAGGCGCGTGCTACCATGCCCAGCTAATTTTTTGATTTATTGTAGAGATGAGGTCTTGCCAAGTTGCCCAGGTGGGTCTCGAATCCGCGGGCTCAGGCAATCCACTCACCTCAGCCTCCCAAAGTGCTGGGATTACAGGCTGAGCCACCGAGCCTAGCTGCCTTTGTTCTTATGTTTCGTCAGGCTTGAAATCTTCTACCTCTGCCCTTAGCATGGCTTGCTCTTCCTAATCCTTCCAATGTCTGACACCATCTTCAGATGCCACTTTTGAAAGTTCTTGTCTGATCATCTATCTCAGTTGCTGCCCTGTTGCTCTCTCAGCTTATTGTTTCTTTCAGACCAATTATTTGTCTGCAATTATTTTGTTTGCTTACCTGTTTCTTGTCTGTGAAAGCAGGCCATGTGTATCATGCTCACCACTTATCCCAGGTCTGGCCAGTGCCTAGAGTAGAGATGGTGCTAAAATAAACGTCTGTGGCAGAACTTCTGAATGGCTGAATGAATGAGTGGGACATGAGGTGGGGGCTCCAGGCTTTGGATGGACATTCTGATTGGTGTCTATCCTTACCTTGCCCCTGAAGAGCGACCACTGCACCCCAAGGAAAAGGTCCTAGAGCAGGCCCTACAATGGTGCCAGCTCCCGGAGCCCTGCTCAGCCTCCCTGCTCTTGAAAAAAGTCTCCCTGGCCCGGGCCGGCTGCCTCTTCACAGGTGAGCCTCCTTCCTCAGCTCAGCACTCCCTAGCCCTCTCCCCCAGGACCCTCCACCCAACACTGCCTGTGGTGTGTGCCCAGGTATCCGGCGTGAGAGCCCAAGGGTGGGGCTGTTGCGGTGTCGTGAGGAGTCGCCCCGCTTGCTGGGAAGCCGCTTCCAGGAAAGGTTTTTTCTGCTGCGAGGCCACTGCCTGCTGCTGCTCAAGGAAAAGAAGGTGAGGGCCTAGGGCCACAGGTGTGGGATGCTGGGTGGTCAAGGAGGAGGAGCCATGACTATACCAACCCTCTGACTCCACAGCTGATACCCCCATCAGTCTCATTGCTTCCCTGATCCCTTGACCTCTCTGCCCCTGTGACCACACACCCCAGTGCTCTTTTTTTTTTTTTTTTGAGTTGGAGTCTCACTCTGTTGCCCAGACGGGAGTGCAGTGGCCGCTCCCGGCCACCGCAGCCTCGACCTGCTGGGCTCCGGCGATCCTTCCGCCTCAGCCTTCCATGTAGCTGGAACTACAGGCGCGTGCTACCACGCCCGGCTGATTTTTTGATTTATTGTAGAGGTGAGATCTCGCCTGCCCAGGCGGGTCTGGAACCCGCGGGCTCAGGCAATCCACTCACCTCAGCCTCCCAAAGGCGCGGGATTACAGGCTGAGCCACCAAGCCCGGCTTACACCCCAGTGCTCTTATGACTTCTTTTTTTTTTTTTTTTTTGAGTTGGAGTCTCACTCTGTCGCCCAGACTGGAGTGCAGTGGCCGCTCCCGGCCACCGCAGCCTCGACTTGCTGGGCTCCGGCGATCCTTCCGCCTCAGCCTTCCAAGTAGCCAGAATTATAGGCATGCGCTACCACGCCCGGCTGATTTTTTGATTTATTGTAGAGATGAGGTCTCGCCTGCCCAGGCGGGTCTCGAACCCGCTGGCTCAGGCAATCCACTTACCTCAGCCTCCCAAAGGTGCGGGATTACAGGCTGAGCCACCGAGTCCGGCTTCTTATAACTTCTTGACCTCATTAAACACAATCTGTCATCTCTCAACCTCACTGGCCCTGTTTTTGTTCTCAGAGCTCTAAACCAGAACGGGAGTGGCCTCTGGACGGTGCCAAGGTCTACCTGGGAATCCGTAAGAAGTTAAAGCCTCCAACCCCGTGAGTTTTCTTCCCCAGCCTACACTTCCAGGACCTTCCTGTCTTCACCCTCTGATCTTTCTGATCACTCCACCATGGTTCTTTGCCTCCCAGGTGGGGCTTCACGTTGATACTTGAGAAGATGCATCTGTGAGTACCTCTAAGCCGACTTCTCCTCCAGCCCAGCCCTCTCTCTTCTCTTTCCCGCCTTCATTTCTCCATTCTACAGTGATAACTGTGACTCTCTTTCGCCCCCTAATTTCTCTCTGATCACCCCCAGCTATTTGTCCTGCACTGATGAGGATGAGATGTGGGATTGGACCACCAGCATCCTTAAAGCCCAGGTGAGGGGAAGGAAAAGGCCGAGGGCTGGCTCTGTGGTCCCCCTGGGCCTAGCTGTACCTCTCAGTGCCTCCCATGCCCACCAGTGCCAAACCCTTACCCTTTCACCAGCATGATGACCAGCAACCAGTGGTCTTACGACGCCGTTCCTCCTCTGACCTTGCCCGTCAGAAGTTTGGCACTATGCCTTTGCTGCCCATCCGTGGGGATGACAGTGGAGCCACGCTCCTCTCTGCCAATCAGACCCTGGTGAGACACTCCAGCCAGCCCCAACCCCTGCCTGATCCCTGCCCTTACCCTTGTTATACTGTGCTAGGGCATGGTGTGACTGCCATCCTGGTGCCCTCCTCTGCTCACTCTCCCCTCCCCTCTGCCTTCTTTGTGCCCCCACTCCCCACCCCTGCCTCCTGCTGCCAGGCCTCACTGTGTCTTTGTCTCTCTCTCTCCCTTCCTCCCCACCCCACCTGTGCCCAGCGGCGACTGCACAACCGGAGGACCCTGTCCATGTTTTTTGTGAGTACTGTCTCTGCTCCTGTTGTGTGCCTGCCAGCCCTGTGCTCCTTTTGCTGCCTGAGCCCCGGGTGTGCCCTATGTATTTTCTGATGCAGGCCATCAGAGTCAGAGGGTGTGTGTGTGTGTGTGTGTGTGTGTGTGTGTGTGTGTGTGTGTGTGTGTGTGTGATTGTGTGTGTGTGTGTGTGAGAGAGAGAGAGAGAGAGAGAAAGCGAGAGCGCGCCAGAAAGAATTAAGAAAATGAGGGATGGTAGGATGTGGTGAAAGCAGAAAGTATAGATAGCCCGGGCAACTTGGCAAGACCTCATATCTACAATAAATCAAAAAATTAGCCGGGCATGATGGCATGTGCCTATAGTTCCAGCTACTTGGAAGGCTGAGGTGGAAGGATTGCCTGAGCCCAGCAGGTTGAGGCTGTGGTGGCTGTGAGTGTGCCACTGCACTCCAGCCTGGGTGACAGAGTGAGACTCCAACTCAAAAAAAAAAAAAGCAGAAAGTAGCCACAGAATCTGAAATAGAAAGAAAGTGGTGCCGAGAGTGGTGGCTTACACCTATAATCTCAGCACTTAGGAAGGCCGAGGTGAGAGGATCGCTTGAGGCTAGGAGTTTGAGGCTGCAGTGAGCTATGGTTGTGCCACTGTATTCCATCCTGGGCAACAGAGTGAGGTGAGACCCAAACTCAAAAAAAAAAGAGAAGTGATTAAATGAACGCATTTTGAGTCAGACAGAACTGGGTTCAAGCCCTAGCTCTACCATTTACTCACTTTGTGATCTTGGGCAACTTACTTAATCCCTTTGCACTTCAGTTCATTCTTCTGCAGTGTAAACCACTGCACAAGGTTGCCCTGACAGCATATATGCCAAGTTATAGCATCTGGCCCAGAGAAAGAGCTCGATACATGTTAGTGATTACTAATCTGGTAACTTTAACTTTGCCCACTCCTGCCACCCCATTTCCATCCAGCCAATGAAGTCATCCCAGGGGTCTGTGGAGGAGCAGGAGGAGCTGGAGGAGCCTGTGTATGAGGAGCCAGTGTATGAAGAAGTAGGAGCCTTCCCCGAGTTAACCAAGGATGCCTCCACCTCCTTCTCTACCACACCAGAGTGGGCAGCCAAGCCAGAGAGCCCCCTCGCCAGTCAGAAGTCCTTTGATCAACCCCTGCTTTCCCAGGCAAGCATCCTGGGCCAGGAGGAGAGACTGCTTGAGCCCCCTCCAGGCCCTCCTTCAAAGAGCATTCCCCAGGCACGGGGGTCCCTGGAGGAACAGCTGCTCCAGGAGCTCAGCAGCCTTATCCTGAGGAAGGGAGAGACAGCTGCAGGCCTGGGAAGTCCTTCGCAGCCATCTAGCCCCCAGTCCCCCAGCCCGACCAGCCTTCCAGCACAGACACCTGGCTTCCCCACCCAACTCCCCTGCACTTCTAGCCCACCCTCCAGCCAGCCCCTCACATGACCCTACAACCAGAGGTCTGAGATGTTAGGTACCCAGAAGACCCAGAAACTCTCACCATGGCAGACACCACTGGGAACTTCCTCTACCATGGCTGGAAAGACTCCAGAATCCAATATGGTGCTGTGGAAGGAGCACTGGACTGAGAGCTGCAGAGGCTGTGTATCCCAGGGCAGGTCACGGCCCCTCCCTGGGCCTCAGCCCATTTATCTGTACCACGAGGTAACTGAAATCAGGAGAGTGGTGATCATCAAAATGTGTTTCTCAGAGCTGTGAGCCCTACGTATTTTCCCTCAACAAGGGCAGCTCCTGCTTTACATATTTGATATATAGGGGTTCTTTGAAAGATTTGAGGTTTTAAAAGAAGGGTTTGCATAAGGAAAAAAATATGGGTTGGAAGCCAGAGTTCTGGATGATGTCCATGTCTATCCTATCCCACTTTCTACGCTCTAGAACTATACCGAAACCTTGGAGTGGAGAGACGGGTTGGGGGCAAGGGACAGCCAAAAATGGACGAGTCACTATTAATAAACCTTGGAACCAAAAGATGACCATTCTTTTATTCATTCAACATTTTATTTATTCAACAAATATGTTCTGAACACCTAACTGTGCCAGGTCTGAGGATGTGGCATGAACCAGACAAATGGAGTCCCTGTGATGGATTCTCCACTGTGAAGGGAAACAGAAAATAGCAAATACTTGCATACACCAATATTTGCACAAATGTATTTAGTGCCGTGGAAGAAAGAAAACCAAAGTGAAGCGCTTATGAGTGACTGGAAGTGGCCTTTACTTTCGATGGATGGGGACGGCCTCTGTGAAGAGCTGAAGTAAGGGAAAGGAGCTGTGGAGAGCTGGGAGGAGGAGCTCCTGGAGGGGGAAAGCAGGCATGAAGCCTTTGCAACAGGAAGGGGCTTACTTGGGGGACAACAAGGAGCCTGGAACATGGTGAGTGGAGAGCCGGAGGACAGGACAGGCTGCAGTGGGAAAGGCCAACTGGGGCAAAGTCGTGCATAGTCTTGCAGGCCATGCATTCTACTTGCATTTCTGGTATTCCAATTTTATTCTGAAGCAACTGCGCTTTAAGCAAGAAAATGGTGAGATCTTATTTCCCCTTTTAAAAAAACATTGATCACTTTGGCTGCTGTGTTGTGGGGGGAGTGTGGAACCAAGGAGACCAGCTTTTTTTTTTTTTTAAGTCAGAGTCTCACTCTTTCACCCAGGCTGGAGTGCAGTGGCACACTCATGGCCACTGCAGCCTTGACCTGCTGGGCTCAGGGGATCCTTCTGCCTCAGCCTCCCAAGTAGCAGGAGCTACAGGCACATGCCACTACACCTGGCTAAGAGGCCAGATGTTAGACCAGAAGACTGCTAATGGGGACTTGGACTAGGATGGTGGTCTTGGAAATAGAAGTGGAGCAATAGATTTTTTCCCCCCTCTTTGGGAATAGAATGTATAGGACTTGTTAATGAATAGAATGTGGGGGTTGGAGAAAAGGCACATTGACTCCAGGTTTCCAACTTTCCTAGCTGCAGGGAATGTGGTGCTATTTAATAAGTTACCGGGGGGATGGGGGGATCAGGCTGAAGTAGCCACTTTAAAAGTTTGAGGTGTCTATTAGATATACCAGTGGAGGTGTCAGTGGGTAGTTGTATATGTGGATCTGGAGTTTCGAGCCATATCAGGGGTGAGGGGCCAGGGGCCAGGGTCAAAGGAACTTAGGTGAGGAGGATGAGGAAAGAGGGTGAAGATCTTCAAAACTCAATGCCAGGGCTAGAAGATCTTGGGGTTCTCTGAAGGGAAGACCCTAAAAGTGACAGAGGCTTTCCGGGCTGTAAGGCCCCATCTCATCTCACAGCTCTCGCCCACTCACTGGAATAGTTTAGTTCCCACTGGGGCTCAGGACGTACCTGTCTTTTTTCCTCTGGGTCTGGTTCCTTCCTGGCTCCACGCGTCTTTCTCATCCCACTCACGCTGGCTTTTCCAGTTCAGCGGAAACTGAGCAAAGGTCTGGGACCAGCCCTGTGTTCCCTTTGTCAGATGCGCCTTCCCTCAGGTGCCCAGTGACTCAGTTTCTATGGTCATACATTGAGTTCCTCGCCATTCTTCGTCCTCAGCTCGGGGACTGGTGATCTGCATAAGTAAATAAATAATTAGACATAATTACAGGCTGAATCAGTGGCTACACTAGAAATAGAACTCAGGCGTCTCGACTCAGAAGCCTAGGGTTCTCCCCACCGCCGAGCAGACGCTGCGTCCGCCCCGCCACCCGGACCCTTCCGGGGTATTTGCGGCAGTAGCAGCTTCGGTTCCTCTGTGGACCCCTCTCGCTTCCGCGCCCTGCGCTGTGGCCGGACGGGGCGGGGGCGGGGGCGGGGCGGGGCCGGGGCGGGGCCTGGGCAGGGCGGGGCTTCGTTGTGGGCGGGGCTTCCTCGAGTTCCGGAGTCGAGTCGCTGGCTGCCTGGGCCGGAGCGGAGATGCAGCCGCCGCCCCGAAAAGTGAGCTGGGCCCTGGAATGGGGTCTCCTGGTGGGCTGGGCGAGCGGCGGGAGCTAAGGGGGCCCTCGGCTTGAGGTGGGAGACGGGGAAGAGGTCAGAGTCCAACGTCCAACTCAGAAGTAACCGAGGAAACAGTTCGGCCGCTCCCCGGTCCCGCCCCTTCACCGCTCCCTGCGCGGAGTGATTTTTAGGTCCCCGCGCCGGGGGTCTTCGTCCTCTCCTAACCCCCACAGGTGAAGGCGGCACAGGAGGTGAAGCTTCGCTTCCTGGAACAGCTGAGCATCCTTCAGACCCGGCAGCAGAGGGAGGCGGATCTGCTGGAGGACATCAGGTAGCCCCTTACCCCCTTCACTGACACCCACCTTCGCGGTAGCGCGCCACTTCTTCCCCAGCGCACATCTACAGGGGTTGGAGGCAGGGGGGACGAGCTCTCCAACCGACCCCTTCATAGCCCTCACCCTAGTCCTGAGTCTCCAGATGCTGGATAGGAATTATCCCCAGCCCCCACCCACCACACAGATAAGCACACAAGAAACCCCCCTCAACCCTCCTTGGCTCCACACCACTCTCCCCACCACTCCAAATCAAGGGCAGAATCCTCCTCCCTCTTCCAGACCTGTTGGAAGGTTGGCAGACACCGTGCCCAGACGCCTGTCAGTCCTCACCTCTAGGCCCACGAATGGACCTCCCGAGTGGGGAAGATCCTGCTGGGGCTCTGAGCAGTGAGGTTAGGCTGTCCTGAGTTGCGGCTTCCCGAGGTGATCTCAAGGACTCTCTCTCTCAGCCCCATTCTCTCTGGGTGTAGTCATACTTCAGGAGCCTGGCTCCCCCCTTCCTTCTGCCCAGGCCAAGTAGAGAATTGAGGTGGGAGAACAAGACCAAACAGTAACCTTATACCCCGCCCCACCCCCACCCTCAATCTCCACAGATCCTACAGCAAGCAGAGGGCAGCCATTGAACGGGAGTATGGGCAGGTATGAGACTTTTTTCTGGATCTTACCTCTTGTTTTAGCCTCCTTTACATCACCAGCCGTGTTTGTCCACACATACCCCTATTGTGGTAAAGAGCAAATGCCTAGCATCAGGCAGACTGGTGTCAACTCCCTGTTGTGTGCTTATTAGCTGTGTGACCTTGGACAAGTTACTTAACCTTTCGTGGCCTCAGTTTTTTTCCTCTGTAAAATGGGAATAATAATACCTTGCCTTCATGTAGGGTTGTTTTAAGAATTAAATTAATGAATGTAAGTCACTTAGCAAAGTGAGTGGCATGTAATGTGTACCCAAAGAATGGTGCTATTATACTCTAATATCATGTTCTCTCAGCTGGGGAAGGTTTTTGAAGAGGAACTGGGTTTGTGATGGCTTTTTTACCAGGCACTCCAGAAACTGGCTGGGCCATTTCTGAAGAGAGAAGGGCACCGGAGTGGGGAGATGGACAGCAGGTGGGTCTCGTGGAAGGGTAGGGTTACAGGGGCCCAGAAGTAATGGGGAGCTCAGCCCAGAAACCTGTGGGAATGAAGGCCTAGCAAGCAAGGAGGGCACGTGAGCTTCAGGTGGAGCTGACACAGCAGCAGGAGAGGAGCTGACCCAGCAAGGACACTGTGGATGGGGGTGGGGGGACATGAGTGAGCCTTGTGGCTGAGCTAATGGGCCTATCGATTGATGGGCTTCCAGACAAGGGGGGATGGGAAAGTTCTCTGTTTTCCATGTGTTGGGGGGTTCTCACGAAGCTGTGGACTGCTCCCCTCCTCAACACAGACCTTCTCTGGGGAGGGGCAGGACGGTGTTTGGTGCCTGGCGCTGCCTGCTGGATGCCACTGTGGCTGGGGGCCAAACCCGGCTCCAGGCGTCCGACCGTTACCGTGACCTAGCAGGGGGCGCAGGGCGGAATACCAAGGAGCAGGTGCTTAGGAAGGTATGGCTGTGGGGTGAAGGAAGACCTGGCTTGGGACTGGCAGTAGTCTGGGTCAGGACTTTGTGCATCCATGCCTCTAGGGAACAGAGAACCTCCAGAGGGCGCAGGCGGAGGTGCTGCAGTCTGTCCGGGAGCTGAGCCGAAGTCGGAAGCTGTACGGGCAGCGGGAACGTGTGTGGGCCTTGGCACAGGAGAAGGCAGCTGATGTCCAGGCCAGGTGAGGCCATGGAGCGTCAGGAAACCCAGGGTGGGGTATGGGGAGGTAGTCAGGTGTGCTGGTAGAGCCAAGGCCCCCAAACTGGGCCTGGCTCTGCCTCTCCTCCCTCGCCTGTGCAGGCTGAACCGAAGTGACCATGGGATCTTCCACTCGCGGACCAGTCTCCAGAAACTAAGCGCCAAGGTTTGGAGGATGAGAACATAAGTGGGGATAGGGAGGAGGTAGGCAAAGTAATCTAGTAGTTTGGAACCCAGGGACGTAAGTATGAGAGACTGGGTTGAATTCAGGATCCCTTCCTAGGTGGGATCTTCATCTATAAAATAGAAATAATACTTTTCTTTTTCATTCCTTTAATATGCACTATTGAGGAACTCTATAGACAAGGCACTGTTCTAAATGCTGGGGATACAGTGGAGAACACCCCCAGTGGGGTGGGAAGGCCACAGTGCCAGGCACATAGTAAGGACTCAATAATGTGAGAATATATTCTGGCTGCAGGTTCTCAGTTGGGCTTGGAAGGACCCCAGGGGTCCAGGGCTCCCTGTTGACTTCTGTTTCCCCTCCTAGCTGTCTGTCCAGTCGGCCCAGTACTCCCAGCAGCTCAGAGCGGCTCGCAATGAGTACCTGCTCAACTTGGTGGCCACCAACGCCCACCTTGACCATTACTACCAGGAGGAACTGCCAGCCCTGCTCAAGGCCAGTCTTAACCCAGACACCTCTGCCCCTTAGCCAGGAGGGAGAGAGGACTTCCCTTGCTTCCCCTTCCCATGGCAATGGGTGTGCCGGGGACCTAGCCTGCTTAGAGTGGTAGAAGATACGCACTTGAATTCTGGTTCTGCTTCTAGCCGCATCACATTGTTCAGGACACTTAATCCTCATTAAGTGTCCTCATCAAGGATAACTCCTTCTCTGCCCACTTACAACACTAATGGGGTTCAAGGGAAAAAATAGATATGAAAGTGTTTGTTTTTTTTTTTTTGAGTTGGAGTCTCACTCTGTTGCCCAGGCTGGAGTGCAGTGGCACACCACCACCCCAGTGTCAACCTGCTGGGCTCCAGTGATCCTTCCACCTCAGTCTTCCAAGTAGCCAGAACTATAGCCACATGCTACCATGCCTGGCTAACTTTTGATTTATTGTAGAGATGAGGTCTCGCCAAATTGCCCGGGCTGGTCTCGAACCCGCAGGCTCAGGCAATCCACTCACCTCAGCCTCCCAAAGGGCTGGAATTACAGGCTGAGCCACCAAGCCCAGCTGAAAGTGTTTTTAAACTATTAAGTGCTCTGTACACACAAGGGTCTTTCATATGAAGAGTGTCTTATTTCTTCCCTTCTTCCCAGACCTCACACCCATCACCCAGCCAAATCTGGACAGAGAGCCAGTTTTGCAGTAGAGACCTGGGGGAAGGGTGGTGTCAGCATCTTGGGGTTCTCTCCAGGCCCTGGTCAGCGAGCTGTCAGAGCACTTGAGGGACCCCTTGACCTCACTGAGCCACACTGAGCTGGAAGCCGCAGAGCTGGTCCTGGAGCATGCCCACCGTGGGGAGCAGACAACCTCCCAGGTGAGGGCTGTGGCCTGCAGGGGCTCCCTCAGAGATCCTGCTTACTCTTCTCTCCCAATATAGACCTCCCCACTCTATGTCTGTGCCTTTCCTTTTTGCCTTGGCTGCTTTCTTCCAAGAGGTGCTGGGGACAAGTTTGAGAGGGGGCCAGTGAGTGAGTGTCTTGGACTTTTCCCAACCACCAGGTAGGCTGGGAGCAGGATCTGAAGCGGTTTCTTCAGGAGCCTGGAGTGTTTTCCCCCACCCCACCTCAGCAGTTTCAGCCAGCAGGGGCTGATCAGGTGAGACCTCCCTGCTTGTTGGAGCCAGGCCACATATAAACAGGACTGTTGTTAGGCCTCCTCCTCCATCATTCTTGTCTTTGTGTTAATTTAGTGAGTGTTAAATCTCAAAGAGGTTTGAGAACCCTAGTTCACCTCCTTCCCACAAGGACATAAAAAAAACACACCTCAGTCTACCTTCCGGTCACTTCATTGCACTGTCCTCTTCATTCCACCTTTATCCACCCGTATCCCATTCCTGAAATTCTGTCTCTGTGTCCTCACAAGTATATACCTGTGTCCATACACATAGGCATGTGTCCCTACCTTTTTGTCCCTGCCCTTGGAAGTCAAGATAAAGAGATGGAAAGAAGGTCACTGGAGATAAAGAGCAGCCTCAGATCACAGGACCTGTCCCATTCAGGTGTATGCCCTGGAGTGGGGAGCAGAAGGTGTGGAAGGGGAGAGTGGCCTGGAGAAAGAGGTTCAGCGCTGGACGAACCGAGCTGCCCGTGACTACAAGATCCAGAACCATGGGCGTCGGGTGAGGTGGGGGGCACAGGTGTCACGTGCACCTTCTTGTCTCAGCATGAGGAGCTGAGAGGGGGATCCTAGGGCCTCCTAGAGCCACTGGGAGTGTCATGGAGCTAGACAGGAGGGAGGGAAAGGTATTTTAAGGGAGCAATATGACATGGTAGTTAAGAGCACAGCTTTTAGCTATACTGAGCTGGATTTTATTTTGTTTTGTTTTTTTGAATCGAGGTCTTACTCTGTCACCCAGGCTAGAGTGCAGTGGCACAATCACAGCTTACTACAGCCTCAACTTCCTGGGCTCAGGTGATTGGTCTGCCTCTGCTTCCCAAGTAATTTTTTGATGTTTTTTTTTAGAGATCAGGTCTTACTATATTGCCCAGGCTGGTTTCAAACTCCTGGGCTCAAGTGATCTTCCTGCCTCAGCCTCCCACAGTGCTAGGATTACAGGCATGAGCTATTGCACATGGCTGACCTTTGTTTAAATTCTCTTCTGTTTCTTCCTAGTTCTATAACCCTGTGTAATGGAGTGACTTAACCTCTTTGGACTTCAGTTTCCTCATCATTAATGTGGGGCAAATAATAGCACCTACATCATAGGGAAGAGTAAATGTCATAATACTTATGATGCAATTAGCAAAGTACCAGGCCCATAGTAAGTTCTGTCCCACAGTATCTCTACCTGCCTTCCTGACCAGGTGCTGCAGCGATTGGAACAGAAGCGACAGCAGGCTTCAGAGCGGGAGGCTCCAGGCGTAGAACAGCGGCTACAGGAAGTGAGGGAGAGCATCCGCCGGGCACAGGTGAGGCACAGCCCTGGGGGTTAGACCCACTGAGCTTCCACCTTCTCAGGCACTTCCTCCAGTCCTCTTCCTGATGGTGGGGAGGCAGGGGGAGGTAGAGGGTGTGCATAGTTGGCCAGGTTCCACTAACTTTCCTCCTTCCCATGTCAGGTGAGCCAAGTGAAGGGGGCTGCCCGGCTGGCCCTGTTGCAGGGGGCTGGGCTGGATGTGCAGCACTGGCTGAAGCCAGCCATGACTCAAGCCCAGGATGAGGTGGAGCAGGAGCGACGGCTCAGCGAGGCTCGGCTGTCTCAGAAGGACCTCTCTCCCACCGTGAGCTCCCCCCACCCTACCCACACACACCCAGGAGGGTAAAACTCCAGTGGAAGGCAGACCCTATAAAATTGGAATCCCAGCCGGGCTCGGTGGCTCAGCCTGTAATCCCGCGCCTTGGGAGGCTGAGGTGAGTGGATTGCCTGAGCCTGCAGGTTCGAGACCCGCCTGGGCAACTTGGCGAGACCTCATCTCTACAATAAATCAAAAATCAGCCAGGCGTGGTAGCCTGCGCCTACTTCCAAGTAGTTCCAGCTACTTGGAAGGCTGAGGTGGAAGGATCGCCGGAGCCCAGCAGGTCAAGGCTGTGGTGGCCGGGAGCGGCCACTGCATTCTAGTCTGGGCAACAGAGTGAGACTCCAACTCAAAAAAAAAAAATAAATAAATAAAATAAAATTGGAATCCCAGTGTACCTAACTCCAAGGGTTATTGTCAAACTTAAATGAAATCATTCAGGTATAATTATTTGCATAGTTTCTGATATAATGAGTCCCCAATAAACTTATTATAATATAGTAGTTAAGAAGTACGATTCTGGGGCAGTCTGTAAGTGGTTTGAGTACCAGCCATTCTACTTACTAGCTGTGCGATCTTGGAAAGTGACTTAACCTTTTTGAGCATCAGTTTCCTTATAAGTAAAGTAAGGCTAATAGGTGTGCAAAATAACACTGGGTCATCATGAAGATTAAATGAGACAGTTTATATAAGATGCTTGTGCCTGGGACATATTAAGCACTCAACCACTGTAACTCTGCTATTATTGTGGGTATTATCCTGTTCTGCAGTGATTCTGGTTGTGATCCCTAGTGAGTGGATGGGTGGTCCTACCTTGGAGGAGGACCCAAGATATCCTTTAGGGGTAGGATGGAGGAGTGGGAGGTATAATCAGTCCTTGAGAGTGGGCCCCATAATGATGTCTGTTCTCTGCCCCCTCTAGGCTGAGGATGCTGAGCTTTCTGACTTTGAGGAATGTGAGGAGGCAGGGGAGCTCTTTGAGGAGCCTGCCCCCATATCCCTGGTCACCAGGCCTCTCCCCTGCCCTGCACATGTGGTGTTTGGCTATCAGGTATGAGTAGGGGTAGGGACCTCAAATGGGCAGGGATGGGAACAGCAGTGTTCTGAATCCTTTCTTGTGGGACCCAGGCAGGGCGAGAGGATGAGCTGACCATCATGGAGGGTGAGTGGCTGGAGGTCATAGAGGAGGGAGATGCTGACGAGTGGGTCAAGGTGGGTATGGGACCCTGGGCTCTGACCGTGGCTTGGGGGCAGTGGGAGGGACTTCTCTGTGGCCTCTTAAGACGGAGCCAGGCAAACAGGAGCCTGAGTTGGGGGAGAGCCAGGGCCATGGACTGCTGAGGCAAGTCTGATGTCTGTTCGCTTTGGTGGGTGAGCAGGCTCGGAACCAGCATGGCGATGTAGGCTTTGTCCCAGAACGGTATCTCAACTTCCCAGACCTCTCCTTCCCTGAGAGCAGACACAACAGTGACAATCCCTTGGGGGCAGAGCCCACAGGTAAGAAAGGGAAATTCTGGGTCTGGGAACCCTGGGTATGGAGAAGAGTTGTTAGGTGGCTGTGGGCTGGGGTGTCATGGTTCTGGTACACTGTCACCCACCTCCCTCTTTTATCATCTCTCCTGGACCTCGGTAGCATTCCTGGCACGTGCCCTGTACAGCTATGCCGCACAGAGTGCAGAAGAGCTGAGCTTCCCTGAGGGGGCGCTCATCCGTTTGCTCCCCCGGGCCCAAGATGGAGTAGATGATGGCTTCTGGAGAGGAGAATTTGGGGGCTGTGTTGGTGTCTTCCCTTCCCTGCTGGTAGAGGAACTGCTTGGCCCCCCAGGGGCACCTGAACTCTCTGACCCTGAACAGGTAAGTTTTACCTTCTCCTTGAGCCCCCAGGCACCTCTGAGTTGACCCACCCATCCCAACAAGGCCCCATATTCATCTTAATGCCCCCTCTCCTACCCAGGTTTACCTCCTATGGTGGCCTGGGTCTCCCCATCTCCTATGGCTGGGCAGAGAAAAGGGACGCCAAGGCAGCCTTCATAGGAGTTTGGAGGTCTTACTTTAGTACTGCATAGATCTGAGTTCAGATTTCTATTGCATGTCGTGGGCAATGATTTAACCTCTCTGGGCTTGTTTCTTCACATGTAAAATGGGAATAATAATACCTATTTCAGGGGTTCACTGTCATGATTAGAGATAACAAATGTGAACCTCTTAGTACAATGGCACACAGGAGGTGCGTTAATATATGATACCTATTGTTACATATGTATGGCAGGAAGAGCACAGGAGTGGGAGTCAGGAGACCTGGGTTCTAGCTAGCACTGTGACTAACTGGCTCTGTGATCTTGGGCAGGTTACTTAGTCTAAGTCTCACCTCTAACATGTGAGTCCTAAAAATGCCTCATAGGATGGTGGTGACTGAGATGTACTAGTGCATGTGAAGTCCTAGCAGAACACTTGAGACATAGAAAATGTTCAGTATTGGCTGTTGAAATATGTAGCAGCCACAACCCCCACCTGGATACAAGGCCACCTGCTATTGGCGAGTGATGAGGCAGGAAGCGAAGGGAAGATGAGAGGAAAGCTGGTGAAGCCTTTCCACAAGCCAGGAATAACTGTGTGTCTACCCTACCCCCAGACGCTGCCATCCCCTTCTCCTCCCAGCTTCTCCCCACCTGCACCTACCTCTGTGCTGGATGGACCTGTCCTGTCTGAGGGTGAGTGGAGAGAATAGAGAGAATGGGGAGCCCTGGGAGGATAACAGAATGAAGCTTGGATTCCTAGTGCCCCCCCATTTCTCTGCATGCCCTCAGGTACTTTGCAGTAAGGTCCATTGCAGCTTGATGGTGAGAAGAGCTTGCCTGGGCTCTGGAGCCAGGCTTGCCCGTCCCAGTTGCAGTCTGTCTCTTCCATATTTGTGACTGAGGTGGATGTTTAAGTTGTCTGGGCCTCAGTTTATGTTCTTCTTCTTTTTTTTTTAGATTGGAAAATATAGTTTATTCAAAAGTAAATTAGAGAGAAAAGAGAAGATTCACCTTCCCAAGGGAGGAGAGGGGACATAGCTCAAAGAGCACATGGCCACACCATAGCTTAGTAAGGCAGTGATCCAGTTTATGTTCTTTATAAGCTGAGGAGAGAGTTACTACCTCATTGAATTGTTGTGAGAGGTTAAAAAGATGTCTGTAGAGCACATAGCATTGTGCCTGGCATATAGTAAGTATACAAATAGTTACTGTTTTGTCAGTTATTATTATTATTATTTTGGGGTTTTGTTTTTGTTTTTGTTTTTTTGAGTCATAGTCTCACTCTGTCACCCAGGTTGGAGTGCAGTGGCATGCTCACGGTCACCGCAGCCTCAACCTGCTGAGGCTCAGGTGTCCTTCTGCCTCAACCTTCCAAGTAGCTAGAACTATAGGCATGTGCCACCATGCCTGGCTAATTTTTTGATTTATTGTAGAGATGAGGTCTCGCCAAGTTGCCCAGGCTGGTCTCAAGCTTGTGGGCTCAGGCAGTCCTCTTGCCTTGGCTTCCCAGAGTGCTGGGATTATAGGCTGGGATTATTAAAAATAATAACTACACCTGGTAGTTATTATTTTTAAAAATTAACTTGCCTCAGTGTATTTTTCCAATATTCACCCTGTGCTTCCTAGTTTCTTTGAATCCTGCAAATACTTAGTGTTGTGTCATCAATTTTTTCTTTTGGAATGCTGACCTTTTCTAAAACCTTCTGGTACTTCCTCTTTGTCCACAAAGAGTCTCCCTCCCTGACCCCTTGGAGGTCACTACCATCTCCAGCACTCCTAGTTCACTTTCGGTGGCTTAGCACTCAGGCATTTATTGTGTTTGTTGATGTTTCGTTACCAATTTCTTGACAGCCATTGGGGTGGAAATGCTGTGTATCCCACCTTCTTTTCTTGTATACCTTGAGCAGAGCTGATTGTATAGCAGTTGCCCAATAAATGTCTGGTGAGGATGGGTAGCTTGATGGATTTTATGACCTAAGAGGTGACCACTAATTTAGCAATATTTAGTAATATTAGTAAATTAGTAAATTTAGTAATTTAGTAATATTTATAGGATGTGACTGTCCTAAGTGCTGGAGATACAACATTGAACAAAGTAAAGTCTGAAGACTGACTTGTGGTTCTTGCTTCCAGACAAAGCCCTGGACTTCCCTGGACTCCAGGACATGATGGCGCCTCGACTAAGGCCGGTAAGAACCCCTGCCTTGGAGATTTTACACAGAGGCATCATTCCAACTAGTCCTATTTTGTCTTTGGGGCTGAAGGAATGGATAGGGATATCCCCAGGGGGGGACTCTAGAGCACTACCTGTGTGTTCCCTACAGATGCGCCCACCACCTCCCCCGCCGGCTAAAGCCTTGGACCCTGACCACCTAGATCCCCTCACCTGAAGATCGGGGGGATCACTGTCCCCCAGTGATGCTGCTGTCCCTATCTCCATGTTGTCAGAGACCACACTGTTGATGATCCAGAGCAACACAGCCAAAAGCTGGAATCTTCCTTATTTTCGCTCTCACTTCCAGGGGTAGAAACTTCCCCTCTCCCCATTTCTGGGCTGGAACCCATTCCTTTTTCCCCGTTGTCTTCCTACCATCTTTAAGGATGGACCTACCCATTTCTCTTCTGCCACCTCCCTTTCTCTAGGGTAGTGAAATACCCTGAAATCTCAGGCTGGAACCCATCCCCAAAGACTTGAGTGGCTCCGGTCCATCTGTGTCTCCCCCCTGGCTCTGTGACCCATCCCTCTGTAGATGCTAGGGTCACTGGGGTTGGGGCCAGGAAACAAGCAGGCCTTGAGAGTCAGAAGGAGCTGGAGCCAGTATGCGAAGCAGCTGTAATGGTCTGAGCGGATTTATTGACAGTGAATAAAGGGCACGAAGGCCAAGCCAGGCCTGGGCCTCTTGTGCCAAGAGGGAAGGGGGCCTAAGGTGCTATTGCTTTAGTGGCCCACCAAGGGCAGGGGCCTGCTTCCAGCTGCCACTCTCTAGCACATGGAGCGAGGGGCTGGGGAAGGCAGGTCAGGCAGCCTGTTGGAAGGCAGGGGAAGGGGAAGATAACTGAGGGTCCAGGGATGGGGGCACCTCTCCCGAGGTCCCCCAGCCTGAGACCATGCAACTCCAGGTAGAAGTAGAGCTGGTCACTCAGCTGGGGGCAGTGCTGTACAGTGGAGAGGTAGGCCTTCATGCCCACCTGTCCCCTGGCCCTGCCAGCTGGTAGTCCATCAGCCAGTGAAGAATGCTTGGAGGAGAGGAAGAATAAAAGTATTGCTTCATGTGCAAGCTCTATCCCAGCTTCTCCCCAGGGGCTGCAGGATGTTCCCTGTCCCCACCACGAAACCAAGGTATTTATTGCAAAGGCTAAGCCTACAGTTCACTTTGGAGGGTCAGAGAGCTGAGAGGTTTCAGTAGTTTACATGGGAGATGGGAGGACGAGATTACCTGACTTGGGGCTCAGGTAGACTCACCTCACACACCCCCTGTTCCCCGTGGTGGAGACACCTGAGAGAAAGGGGAGGGGATCAATAGTGGGAGATGGAGATGGGTCATATCGGTGCCCTCTAGAATAGGGGGCACTGAATGCTGAGTATACCATAGCCCATTGTAGCCCCGGCCATATCTTCATACCTGGTGATCTGAGGTGTCCTGTTTGCTTGGCTGTCCATTTGCCTCTGGAGTAGGCCTCCCAGGGCTTGGGCCCCTCCCTCCGGCCCTCAGTGTCGGCTCTGCAGAGGCTCCAGGGTTCCCCTCAAGTGTACAAGGAATTAAGCTGCCATCCCTGAGTCCTCCATTCTGCACTGGAGGGCTGGCCAGGGCCTGGGGCTGTGGCCCTTCATGGGGCAGCCTCTCCAAGGCAGGCATCTCTGCCCTGGGCTGCCCTCCCCCAGACCCCTGCCCACCCCTTGGGTCCTGTCCCCCACCAGAGACCCTGCTTCTGTCTGTGGGAGAGCCATCACGATGTTCATGCAGGCCATAGCGCTTCTCAATGTGTGTCACCCGGAACCTGGGATGGGAGGGAACACTGGGGCTTAGGATCACAAATCAGGGACTGCTCGGCTTTCCCTTCTGACCAGGGACATCCTGGATTTGATGGCTATTTCCCTCTGGCCTAAGGCAGGGGAGGCCTTCTCAGATTGTGGGGTACATTGTGCAGCCTGATTCCTGCTGGAGCTCTCAGACCAGAAAGAAAGAACTGGGGCCCACCTCTGGGGTCTGGTGCCTGATCATTGGGGCCCCCACCTCAACCTCCCTTTCCTTGGAGTACCCTGTCCTTCACCTGCCCACAGAGAACACAGTGGTCTCCCCAGTCCGGGGGCGGCTTTTTCCTTCCTTGGAGCGTCCCTGACGGACTAGTGGGGGTCTCTTGCTGCGGCTGCAATGGATGCAAGATGCTGCAGAGCCTAGGTGCACTGTGTGATGATGGGAAGGGGCTCCGTCCTGCAGGCTGGAGGTGGCGTCCACGCTGAACAGCAGGGAGGATGGGAATAAGTGTAGCATTTCCATTTCCCTTCCTATTCTGTTTCTTCCTATTGTTTCAGCATGCTCCTTAAACTCCCAGAAGCCTTACTTTCCTCAGGCCTCAACACCCTTTTCTTATCTAATAAACTCAATACTAAGATGTTAGTGACCATGTGTTCTTCCCAGGGTTGTCTGCTAAAAAAAAGGGCAATGCTTAAACCAAAAGAGTGGACTAGGGATGAATGTAAAGCTTGATGATATCTAGATTAGAGCTATGGTTGGAAGGAAGCAAGATTTCCACAAAACTTCTTTCTTGCTCTTAGCGACCAGCCTTTCCCTTCCCCCAACCCCAACATGCAGGGAGGCTGGGAGAGTCTTGTGAAGGAGAGGATACTCTTCAAGGCAAGTGAAGAATGCTGGCCCTTGTTTCTAGCTCACCTGGACAGCTGCACTGTCCCTTCTCCTTCACTGTCCCCCAGCATCTCCTTCAAGGCCTCAGCATTGGCTGAGGGAAGAAGGAGGAGGAGGAGTCAGTGAAGGTTGAGCTCAGGGCAAGGGACAGCTGGGGTAGGAGGGAGCAAGGGGCCAGCTTAGACCCACCTTCATTTTGGATGATGCAGCGAACAATCCTCTCTACTGTGTCCTCATTCATGTCATCGTCCTCAGCTGAAGGATGAAAGAGGTTGGCAAGGAAGCAAGAATGAGTCAGCTTTGGGGGAACATTACCTGATGCCCCTAGTTGATTGCTCAATACATACCCCTTTACCTATTTGCCATTATGCTGGACTTCAGCATTTCAGGGACCAGAAAAGAGGGGACATCAATGGGAGCCCGAGATTACCATCAGAGGACTCTTTCTGCCTATACTGCCTCGTCTAGTGTTGCTTTCGGGGTGGCATTATCCCACTTGCTGACTCAAGAATGCATCACTAGGCTTCCTGCAGGCTTGGGCCTGGGTCTGTTGGCCAGGGAAGCAGAAAGCAGTGTGGGAAGAGGGACCAGGGAGAAAGGTGGTTGAGCCAGGGTTCCAGGCTCCTCACTCACGGGGCTGAAGCTGGGCGTCGTCAGGCTCTGAGCCCCTTGACGTGCGGCAGCGGTAGCCCTTCTTCTTGAGCACGTGGCAGATCATGAAGCCTACCAGGCCCATGAGGAAGAAGACCAGCACAAGCAGGAAAAGCATGTACAGCCCATGTTGGGGCGGCTCCAGGTCAGGCTGTGGTTCCGACATGAGGCCCTGGGGGGCGAGCGCGGGCCAGGGCGCCTCCTGGGTTTAGGGGGCTGCAGCTGGTGTGGGGGAGGGGTAGGAATGCCGTCCTCAGGATCTGAAACAAGCACGTCTCCGCGATGCTGCCCACCCCCTACCCAAACCAGGGAGCTGTCCGGACCAGGGGTGCTGGCTCGCCAACACCACCCGGGGCAAGAGGTCAGCAGCGGCTGCGCAGACCCTCTCCCATCTCCCTGGTCCCGCTTCCACGACGCCCTGAGCGTTCCCCTTTCTAGTTCGTCCCCGCTTCTGTCCCTCCCAAGGACACTGCAGCGCGAGATGGGACGGGATTCTTAGGCGGCGGGAGCAGAAATTGCGCCTGAGTCAGCGTCCGCCCCTCCTCCGCGCCGGCCCGAGCCAGGCCTCTGCAGCCCCCTCCCCTCCCTGTACTCCCACATCCCCCGCTTTCCGTTTCCTCCCGCCCTGACCACCTGGCCCACCCGGTACCGGTGATTTCGTTCGGGCTCCGGCTTCTGTCGGGGCTCCGGCTGCAGGGGCGTCCTAGTCCGGCTCAGGGCCCCCGACGCCCTCCCGGCGCTCATCCCTTGGTTCCTTCCCCTCCCCCTGCGCCGCTTCACCGGCTCCGGGCCGT